TACCTAACCTTTTTAATCGACATATGACTCATTTAACCAAACAATACACACATCATCATATAAATCATATAATACAATTCATATCACAAAAGTGTATACATCACATGTATTATGTTTATTGTTATCACTTTATTAGCCCATGTACACATGTGAGAACTATAGATATGTGAGTACACTGAGGTTGTGCACTAATGCTATCACCACAGCTCGAATAAATTCCCACTAGGGGCACTAAAAAATTTGTCCCGAAGGGCCACTATGTCCCGAAGGGCCACTATGTCCCGAAGGACCACTATGTCCAAAATGACCACTTATAATCCCTCAACTCTTGGCATGCCAACTATACCTCTAGCTCTTATGTCACATAACATGGGCATTATATTTCATGTTTATAACATATTCACACATTATTATAATCTCTTATATCACTTTCATGTAATCACATATCTCTTATCTCATATGGTCATGTAATCTCATACTTATCACATTTTACATGTCATTTCTCATGAATCACTTATATCATATAACATATGTAGCTTATATACTCTCTTATGTTCACATAGTTCAATTTCACATAGCTTGTCACATATGCATGTAATCACATAGCTTGTTATTTACATAATTCATATAGATCATGTACATATTCATATAATTACTTATGTTAATACCACACGACTTATCTCCTATTCTCATGTTATCATATAAGAATATCTTATATGTCATATCAATACTATAAACTTACACATGTATTCTTATATATATATATATTCTTTTATCTAAATCGTATAGTAATGTCATACTCATATCATCGAATAATTTCACCTAACTAAATCTTATTTTATCCTATAGGTAAATGCTACTTAGCTTATCTCACATTATTTAATACTAGTTTAATCTTTATTTAATTCTTTCACATAACTCCTATCATTTTGCATGGTTTCACTTAACATATATATCATATTTTGTTCACATATATTCTCATATAACTCATATCATATGATTCATATATTATTCTTATATCATCATGTATATCATCTATGTTCATTCACTTAATCTCTTATGTTCATATATCACATATTCATATCATTCATTATGTCAATATCATATAACTTATGTAAACATATATATCACTTATATCGGTTCCTATGTCTTATCACACTAGCATATATTCATACAAATCATGTCACACATACAATAACATATAACTCATACACGCATAACAAACACATGCTCATGTTCATGAATTCATGCATAATACTATAGGAAATAGACTTGTCACAAGTCTTATTTCCATTAAACATCATATATTATCTAATATGCACTCACCTGGCCTCACTAGTCAATACCGATCCCTTATCTCTTCTCGATGACTATCAATTGCAAACTTGTCCAAATATTTCTCTCGATCGATATCTACACAATCATGTATACATATAAACATTCCAAGTACTATGATTTGATTCTTGATTTCTTAAGCTATAAGAAAGAGTAAATCCAAATTTTCTATTGCAAGGGTATTGGTACCTCTATTGGGTATCGGTACATACCTTCACTAAGGTATCAGTACTCTAATTAGGTATCGATACCTAATTTACATTCGATAATTTTTTGTTTTAAGGGGGTATCGATACCATCCTTAAGGTATCGGTACCTTTTGAATGTCTTCCTGAATTTTTACTCGTGAGTTATCGGTACCTGATGAATGGGTACCGATACCCCCTTGCCAAGAAATCACTTTTAATCCCAAATATCGCTCTAAATCCACTTAAACACTTCATATTTCATCCCTATTTATCACATCTTAAACCTCAAAATCCTATCCACCTCATGGAATTCAAGAATTAAACTCAATTTTCAACATGTTTTAAATTCAATTCTATCACTTCATATCTCTAATTCAACCATTGACAAGTCAAATTTAGTTTCAAATTAACTTATCAACTCATTTCAAGATTTCACTTAAAAAACTCTTTCTTCAAGGATCATAATCACTCTAAGATTTAACAAGAATTTAGCTAATAAGAAGACTCACATTTGCTTTGGCTCTCACGGTGAAGTGAAGAGGAGAATTGAGAGTTTTCTGGAGACTTTTTCCTTTAACCTTTATTTCCCACGTGTTATATACCCTACCAAAGAAAGATAAAAATCTTTATTTCAATCTTTACTAAACCATCATTCATAAAATATTTCTAATTAAGTCCCTGAATTTTTAACTTATTTTTAAATTAAGCAAAAAGTTTTCAGAATTTACATTATAGTCACTAGCCCTGTTTTGGGATGTTACAATCCATGAATATCTCAAGGAATTCCTCACCCATGTTAGAAAAGTTTGCTTACATGCAACACTGAAAATTCTCGAGGCATTACAAAGTCCAAAAGGCATCCTCATAATGGAAAAATGTCATGGGGACATGTGAAAGTAGTCTTCTCCTAGTCCTCTAGTGCGATGACAATGTAATTGTACCCAGAATACCCATATAAGATGAAGTAGAATGCTTTGTCTTCTAATCAATCCAACATTTGATCGATGAATAGTAGAGGAAAATGGTCATTCTTTGTAGCTTTCTTGAGCTTACGATAGTTCATCTATATCCTCCAACCAGTGATAGTGCGTATGGGAAATATTTCATTATCTTCATTGGTTACCACAGTTGTGGCACCTTTCTTGGGCACACACTGGACAGGGCTCGCCCATGAGCTATTAGATATGGGGTAAATCACTCTAGCGTCAAGCCATTTAATTATTTTTTTCATTATCACTTTCTTTATAACTGGGTTGAGTCTTCGTTGTGGTTCTATCGAGTTGCCATGGCAATCTTCTAGAAGTATCTTATGCATGCAAATCGTGGGACTAATCCCCTTTAAATCAGCCATCGTCCATCCAAGTGATTTATTATGTTGCGACAAAACACTTGACAAACTTTGCTCTTGGTTAGTAGTAAGGCTAGAGGAAATAATTATAGGTAAAGTATTATCACTACCTAAGTAAGCATATTTAAGATGCCCTGGAAAAGGCTTTAGCTCTAGGGTAGGTGCATGTAATAATGATGGCTTAGGAGGAATAAATTCATCAAAATCAAGGGGTTCAAAGTGTATACCTGATCTAGCGAATAGTAAGCTAGATTGCTCCACCCCTGCTGGAAATTTTTCATGATCATCTATGCTTTCATCGTCATTAGGTTATTCATAGTTGCTAGCTAAATGAAATTGCTTTGGATAAGTTTATTCGATCTCTCCTTCAATGAAGGAGTTCATTTCAAAAATTCCTTGGCATTCTTCAAAGTCATCAGCATACATGAGAGTATGAAAAACATTGACAATCACACACTGGTCGACAACTCTCATGGTAAGTTTACCTTTTTCATAATCAATCAGAATACTACCAGTAGCTAGGAAAGGCCTACCTAAGATGATGGGCACCTTGGCATCAACTTCACAATCAATGATAAGGAAGTCAACTGGAAACATAAATTTATCCACCTTCAATATGACATCTTTGACTCTCCCTTCAGGTGTAACATGGGATCGATCAACAAGTTGTAAAATCACAGAGGTGGGTTTGGCATTTCCTATACCAAGCTTCAAGAATATATATTTTGGCACCAAGTTCACACTTAAACCAATGTCACATAGTGCATTTCCAACGAAATTAGCTCCTATAGAACATGGAATAATAAAGATGCCAGTATCATTTTGCTTTTACGGTAGATTGCTCAATGCAGAACAATATTCTTTTGTTGTGGAAACTGTCTCATGCTTCTCAACTTTTCTCTTCTCGGTGCAAATTTCTTTAAGAAATTTGGCATAAATCAACATTTGTTCAATGACTTTCAAGAGAGTTACATTAATGTGGAGTTGATAAAGAATGTCCACAAACTTTTTGAACTGAACTTCATCATTGTGCTTATTCAATATTTATGGGAAGGGCGTGGGGGTCTAACTTCCTCAACAGCGGGAGTAAGAATTGTTTTTGCCTTGGCATTGGAATTTAGTGCTTCAGTAGGTTCACTAGTAGAACCCTCATCTTTGTCCTTCTCGCCAATGATATCATCATGTAATTCAGGTTTAGCTTTTTCATAAGAGGGGATAGAATCATCATGTTACTTTCCCTCAAACTTGACTTGTTGATTAATCTTAGTTCCACTCCTAAAAGTCAATACATTGCATTGTTCTTATCAGTGAGATTTAGTGACTTCAGTGTCACTCGACAGTCATCCTTGTTGACGTTCTTGCAATACTGCGACAATCTAATCAACTTGACCTTTCAAAGATCTCAAAGACGAGCTATGGCTTTGAAACTAAGACGCCTTGACTGTGAAGCAAAGCTCCTTGATTTTTAATTGAAGTAGAGTGGTCTTGCAGTATTGTCTTTGTGGTAGATATGAAATCTCTTGAATTGTGGCCTCCAAAGAACTAGTTTTGCTGAAGATGAGGCTCACTTGTTAGCATTATGCCATGACATAGTGTGTTGGTAGCCTTGAGATTCAGTATAATTTTGCTAACGAGTAGGTTGACTAACATTAGGAGCTCCTTGATTACCCCATAAAAAGTTAGGGTGTTGGCTCCACCCTGGATTATAGGTGTTGAAGTAGGGATTGTTATTGCCTCGATTGAAATTGCCTACAAAATTAGTGGACTAATGATTGGTTGGGCATTCGTTCTCGTGATGATTGTCATTGCATAACAGACATGCCGAACTAAATGCCTTCACTTTCTTTACTTCAGTAGAGTGTTATAAGTTTTTCAACATATTAGTGATAGCTGAGAGTTGAGCGGACACAGAGTCATTGGTATCTAACTCGAATTCCCCAGGTGTTTTTCTCCCAGTTCCAAGCCTTAAGGAAGGAAATTGATAGTCATTGTTGACAATTCTATCCAAAATAGCAAATGCCTCAGTAGGTGATTTATCAAGGAATGTCATATTTGTCGAGGCATCGAGCATCATCCTCGTGTTGGCATTTACTCCATTATAAAACATAACTACTTGAGTCTAGTCTTGAAAACCATGATTAGAACAGTTGCGAAGCAAACTCTTGTAACGATCTCAATATTCATAGATAGATTCGTCATCGTCTTGGCAAAAGTATGCTATGTCATTCCTTAGCTGAGTGTTCATGTTTGGCGGGTTATAGTGCAATAGAAAACTTTTAAAAATATCAGCCTATGATTCCATCGAGCTAGATGGAACACCCTCAACTAAGCCCTCACTCGGTCAAACAAAGAATATGGAAATAACTTTAATTTCAGCACATCCTCATGCACTCCTTGTTGGCGGAAAGAATCACAAACCTACAAAAAGTTGTGAATGTGTTGTCTGACATCTTTAGTTGGCATACCCCCAAATTGCTCTATCGAATTCAGTATATTGAACATCACATGTTTGAGCATGAAATGGGCTACTTGAATTTCGGGTGCCACAATTCCAAAATTCAAATCACCCAACATAGGATTCAAATGATCACAAATAGCAATAGGCCCATCAGGAAGCCCAACATTATGGAATGCCTCAACATTTTGATCGCCTTCTTCTTGACCAATGCCTTGGTTCCCAATTTGATACATATTTTCTTGAGCATGTCGAGCACGTCTACTTTACCTAAAAAGTCTCTCAATCTCAGTTTCAATTGGTTCTAATGGCCTATCAGAATTTCTTCTGGTTGTTCAACAAATAGGCCTGAAAAATAAAGTGAAATAGCAAGTAAAAATACAAAAATAAAAAATAAAATGCTATGGAAAAACTAATTAACTTCACGTTGCCAATCCCGACAACGGCGCCAAAACTTATTGTGTTGTGAGTACTAATAAATTATACGCAAATGATGTACAAGTATACATAATCGCAATAAGTAATAAATTGATGAGTGAGTATCATCTCCACAGATATTGGTGGAAATTATGAGTTTGACCACAACACTACACTAATTTATCTAAGTATAGAAATGATATATACATTGATGATGTTTCGACAATGAAAATGTGAGAGTGAATGAAATGATAGTTAGGGAGTGTGATTGGGTGAATAATGTTGTGGCAAAAAACAATTTATAATGATGAATATGACGAAAATGCTAAGGTAATGTAAAATGGTAAAAATAGAAAATAAATAGAATAGCTTTATAATCCTCACACGGGAAACTACTTCGGGAATGAATGGTGGAGAGTCACTTAAGGAGCTAAAAACTTATCTTTCTAACTGTTTAGTCTTCTAATGCTTTACTTGTTCGATGGAGTTTGCTAAAAGTGTTCTTGATATCTCTAGTTATAAGAACCTAATAGAATATAATGCCACAATATCTCATGTCATTCTCAACTATGGCAACCTACAATATTGAAGACGCACAACCCCTCTTAGTCGTTAAAATCCTAGCTTAGTCTTTCTCAAGTATTAAAGAATTAGGCTATAGTGATTAACTATATCCCATTGCTTATGTTAATCATACTTAAGTTTCTCTCGAATACTTAAGAATTGATAATTAGATTTCTCTCGAACATCTAGTCTTCATCTAAGAAATGGACACTCTCATGCCCTCTACAATATTAAAAGATTAAGCACACATAAAAAAACCAAGTAAAACAAAGATAAAATTCATCAACCATTAGAATAAAGTTTCAAGCATCCATCGAATGAACCCCACCAAATATAGCTTAGTTCACGGTAGGGTTCGAACAAACCATAGAGTATACCCAATCGTTCATTCAACCTTACAACCCAAATAAGGTTTTAAGGTTTAACAATGGAGAAAAGGTTGGAGAAGAAAACACTAGGTGTACACAGGCGACACTTCCCTTAAATAACCACGAACGACTATAACATGAGCTCTTCTCGGATACTACGTCACTCGCTCGAGCTTCACCAATAGAGGAATGCCAATAAAATGGAGAAAGATGAACGGTAATAGAGGTAGAGAAAATGGAGAATGTGATGATGAATTTTTTCCAAGCTCTTTTTTTTCCTCTTGTGTGGTGTCCTTTTAAATAAAAAATATATAAGGGTATTCTGGGAATTTTGCACTCAAAACCCATCATACCCCAAAATTATTCCTTGTGTGTGAAGTTTATCTCTACATGAGGCAATGGTCCCCCATTCAGATGGTTATCAGCAGTATACACGTGCTTTGACAGTATCCTCTTGTGAAAATATCTCTTTGTCTTTTATGCACTAGAAATGCCAAGATATTACAGTCTGCTTCCTCAACATGTGATGCCACGTCATTCTTCTTAGCTTGCCCTATGCTCTTGGTTTTCTTCACATCACTAACCAACCACACATTTCCCATCATATAGCACCTTAACAAAGTAAAAATAACACAACCGTCATTCTTCTTAGCTTCCCCTATGCTCTTGTTTCTTCACATCACTAACCAACCACACATTTCCCATCATATAGCACCTTAACAAAGTAAAAATAACAAAACACCACAAATGTATCTACATGCAACTACATGAATCTAAATGGACCTATAGAACCCTACACAAACAATAACTTAAGTGAAAAGGGCTTTAAAGGTAGTTTTTACGAAGTTTCCAACTAACTATCGAATTTGAACACTCGTTTGGTTTGAAAGATCCAGTTCACTGAATCAATGTCATAAACGATGTTCATGACTCGCAACGAAAATAAGGAAAGTGAAAAGAAGTACACAAAAAAGGTACAAAAGAAAATTTGGCGATGTGGGTTCAAACTGGTGAGGGACAAAACAAAGTAATATATCCTCAATTAAGCTCAGTTGGAAACAAGTACACAACCTACTCAACTATTTTTTCAAAGAGAATGGAATGGTCGTAAAATCTCGTAGATGATGACAATGATGTGAGTTACTATATTTATTTACTATGATGTCTTAAATTTTTATGCTATTTATAATTTCTATCTCTCCATTACGTCTCAAGACAAAGACGACCTTGGAATACTACAAGTACCGATCTATATATATAAAATATCATACACCTGGTATGTATTACAAACTTCTAAAAAATATTTGCTAGCTTTGGTAACCGACATACATAATTTGTTGTAACTTTGGTAATCACATACATAATTTCATTCACATAATTTATCGTAATTGTGCTAAATAAATGCATAAAAATTAGGAAAACTTAACATCATTGCTTTTTCCCTCTAACAACCGTCTATTTTTCCATATGTCTCATGTAAACACGTGTAAACTCATCTCTCCTTTTATTTTTTTTGGTGGTTTATGAGATCTTTAATATTTCATACGATCACACTCTCCAGCAACCTATATTCAAATTGTCATTATGTTACCACATCATTAAATCTAAGAGTTTAGAAATTTAAAATCAAAGTAATTTTTCAAACCACCTACCACTCATTCATTGCCCCTCTAACACGATCCTTTCTATCCATATCATCACAAAAATGTCGCAATCGTATCTGTTAAAAATGATTAACACAAATGTCAAATATGAAACCCTGATAAATATTCACTTCTTACAATCAAATTTCACCTATTCAATAGTGCATTCTTTGTGTACTCCATAAATTTGAAATCTTTCAATGGGGCCTTTTAACTACATACATTACAATTTTGCTTCCTTGTTATATTTATCTAATTTCGTCGTCTGCGTGAAAAAATATCAAGTAGATTACAAACAAATTATGCATTATAGATTATTTTGTTTCTTTCATACCAATTTCATCGCATCTTGCACTCTCCTTTTGCCCTGGCAATGTAAATAGACTATCATAAAGCGTTGATTGATGAGAATCCATATCCAACACCAACAAATATCAATAGCTCTTACTATCGTTTATTGGAATAAGAATCTACAATCATTTCACCCAATTAACAAAATACAACATTATAAATATTTAAATACAAAACACATTTGTAAATCAAATGGATCTTACTGTGTCACAATCAGTTAATTACGCATGTCTTTCAAAATGGGCTTCCAAAAAATCCGCAATAGTATCAGCAGTTAGATTATTATCTAACACCGTTGTCTGCATCTTCTCGACAATCATATAATTGACCATCCATAACATTTATTCAACATTTATTAATTTAACTCATCGTAAATTTGTATGGAAGGTAGGCCATCTTCCCCTTCCCCCGTATGTTCTTCTTCAATTCGTAAACCAACACCCAACCGCCAAATCAATAACCTTACAAAATTAGTTACACAATTTCAACCAATTCAATTCCATATAAATATACGAACTTTAAACAACAAAAACAATTTATACTTTCTACTTGCTACACCACTAACCCATGCTAGAGGTGTAAACGAGCAAGTCGAGATCGAGTATTGCTGAGCTCAACTCGACTCGAAAACTCTAAATGGAGTTTGACTCGACTCGAAAACTCGGAGCAGCTCTCGAAAAGGCTCGAAATGAAAAAAAAAATCTTAAACTTAACTCGATTGAAGCCTAAAACTCAAACTCGAACATGAACCTTAAATACAGAAAATCTTACTGTATTTTTTAAAAAATCAATAAATAAATATTAATATATTAATAATAATTATTTTAAAAAAAAAATCTTAATATATTATATTTTCAGTTGCTCACGAGCTTTCGAGTCAAATATCGAGTAGCTCGTTAAGAACTCGTCGAGCTTGAGCTCGAGTCGAGTTCGATCCGAGTATTTATCGAGCCTTGATCGAGTGATCTCGAGTAGCTCGTGATCTGTCTCGTCTCATTTACAACCCTAACCAATGCACTATTTTAACATCCACGTCTGCTACTGTGGCATGTTGGTTTCCCAATTCGATAACAACTTCACTGTAATATTTTTTGGATTTTTTCAAATAAATAGTTAAATAACTCTCAAATCGATATATTACTTACCTCTTCAGTAACCACTATTTCATACATAGTCACACATTGCACTTTCAAATACACCTATATTTTGGTACTCTAACCTTAGACAATACATTCAATTATTGAACCTTTTATATCATATATGTTCCATTCAAGTTATTCTACATTAATAACAAACGGTAAATGTTTTAATTTTTATGTACCAGACAAATATTCATCAACAATACAAATACAACACTAATGCAAATAAATTTTTCAAGGTTTAATAATTAATGTCTCAACATAACTGTTCCTTCACTCCAATCAATATCCAAACCCTATTTTT